CCGTCCTGCCCGTGTCTACAGAACGCCCTGACTGTCACGGGCACTCCCGTGAAGTTCGTTGTCTGGAATGCTGCTGGTTCAGACCAGAGGTCCCTCAGAGCTGACGACTTTTGTTTGGCCATTTGTTCTGAAAGCATCTAACCGGCCAGGTGTTAGACCCGATTGCAGTACGCACAGCTGAGCACCTGGGATCTCACGCCCCCACCTGGCGGCCTCACCCACGTACATGAACCCTACAGCCCCTCTGCCCTGGCTCACACAAACAGGAAGCCTGACGACAAGGGACAAAGACGCTGAAGCCCGTGCAGCTCTGCGATTTGGAAAATCTGTTTATCAAGGCACATGGATGACGTTCTAATGACTTCCCATCCAGTGTGAAATAAAGCCTGGTGTCCTCGGCAGGTCCACGAAGCCCCGAGGCCCTGGCCCCTGCCTCTGCTCAACCTCATCCCTTCTCGCCCTCTCTCCCCTCGCTCACCCAGCTCCAAGCACGCACGTCTCTTTGCTTTTCTGCAAACACACGAAACTTCTCTCTGCCCAGAAGCTCTTCTCCGGACGGCCCCACGGTGCCCCGACTCCCCTCGGCTCCCTGCTCAGATGTCAGCTCCTCAGAGGACTTCCTGTCCAGCAGGTCTTAAGTAGTGTAAACGCATCTGCATTTCGGAATCCTTGTCACTGCTCAGACGCTCTTTCTCTCCATTCTTCACGTTTCCACGTGCAGGGAGACCAGCCAGACCACCCTCCTGGCCTGCCACCCCCTTCTCTATGAGAGGGTCGAGTTGTCTGGTTGATGAGTCTGGGAGAAGACACTGAGCATGCTCAGCTCGGCCCCCTTCTGTTAGGGAGCCGGCCCACCAGCCTATCTACCTGTCTGCTCTGTCGCACAGAAAGGGGCCTCCCAGCCTGCCCGAGACAGGAAGAAGGCCCGAGGGTGTGCAGCTGTTGGCTCTGTGGAGCTCGTGAGCAAAGCATTAACTAGCCATGTCCTCCATTCTACATTATTATTAGTTATAAATTTAAATTCCGCCTGGCTCCTGTATTGATCGGTCAATTGGTTATAAATTTAGATGTATTTCTTTTATCTATTGCCGTATAACAAATCACCCAAAACTCCGAGCTTCAATTAATAATTCACTATTTCTCACGAGTCTGTGGGTTGACCAGATGGTTCTTTCGCTTCACAGGCTGTTGGCCAGAATGTTGGACCGGCTGGAAAGCTCAAAATGGCTTCGTTCACATGGCTGGTATCTAGTGCTGGCCACTAACTGGGATCATCTGGAGCTGTCAGCTGGGGGAGCAGGGGCCTTGGCTCCCTTCGCTGGTGGCCGAGCTTCCTCTCGGCGTGGTAACTAGGTTCCAAGTAGGACTGTTCCACAAGCGAGCTTTCCAAGAGTTGGGAAGTAGGAGCTGACAGTCTTCTGAAGCATCGATCTTGAAAGTTCTGGGTCTTAGAGCACAAACTAAAGGTGCACTTGCTGCTTAAAGACCTGAGAAGGCTTCGCACTGCACATAAGATGAGATGCCACCTCCGTAACTGGCACCCCTGCCTCAGCACACGCCAGCCACGAAAGGGTGCGTGCTGGCCTGCTGTTCACTCTCAGACGCTTCCAGCTCAATCCAGCCTCGAGTCACTGCCCCCATGCAGGTGATGGGGTCAGATGACATCTGGAGATGGACATGATTCAATCGGATCACACAAGCACAGGTAAACTGGGCCGAACGCTGTGAGCAAAAATGCCACAGTGCCCCACGAGAGGATCTGACTCATGAATTCATGAATGAGTTGCTCTTGAACTGGGATCGATGGCTGAATGAGAGTTAACAAAGCGAAGAGAGAGCAGGGAGTGGGAACGGCATGCGCAGACACCGAGGGGGTGTACGCCAGGTCAGGGGGCACCGGGAGTGGAGATGGAGTAAGCAGGACACAGACCTTGCAAGGTAAGGAGTGTGGATTTTATTCTGAGCTCAAGGAGAAGCTCTTGGAGAGTCTTAAGCGAGAGACTGACTGATGCGATTTGCAATTTGAGATGACTCTGGCTGTAGCGTAAATAATTTCTCCCAACTTCATAGCAGTTGTGGGTCCTGAAATTTAGAGAGAGGCCAGGAAGAATGTAGGGGAGACCTCACAGTCGTGAAAGGGAGAGATTGTGGTGGCATGGCCTAGCGACAAGGGAGATGAAACTGAATAGTTTGCAAATATATTAAAACTTGTGAGTGGCTGAAACACAGTCGTCTTCCTGTTTCTAACTCCAAAGCCCTAGATGTCATTTACCCTAAAAACAATGAACTCAGGAAGACACACCACCCTGCAGACTGCTGGCTGGGGGCGTGTCGAGTCTGTTTATCAGGCCAGCTGGGTGTACTAAGCAATGTTACCCGTGCAAGTCTGTCTGTTTTTGACAGCACCTCAAGGCAGACAGGGTCCAAGCATCGGGGGCTTGGTCCTGAGAACATATTATCTCCTCTTGCTTACTTCTGCACGAGGGCAGGAAAGGGGGCTGGTCGCCTATGGAGGCTTGTTGTCATTGCGGCTTAGCATGTAAGAGCACCCAGCATATTCAGATTCAAATGCTCATTCCTATCACTTCACCTACTAGTTCTGCAGAACATTCCAGAACTTCTCTCTGCTTCGATTTCCTCATCTTTATAAAATAATAACAATAACAATAATAATAATAATAATAGCAACCACCGTTGGAGTTTTAGGAGGCCGAACACAAACACTGCGTGTCCCTCCTGCTTTCAGAACTGAGAACAGAGCAGGCAGCAGACAGGTAAAGATCAAAATGTCACGTTTCCGACGGCTGAAGCTGGACTGGAGGATGTGGCTGAGGTGAAAACGCTTCTTCATGTGGCCACTGACACAGGGGGCAACCACAGACAGCGGAGCACGACACGCCCTCTCTGGGGGGCAGGGTGGCACGACTCAGCACTGAGCCGTCTCGAAAGTCACCAGTCAGCAGAGCCAGAGACGAGGGCTCCCTCCTGCCCCTGGGGAGAGAGTCAGAGGCCGCTGGGAGCTGGCCGTGCTCCTGTGTGCTCGGCCCTCCCTGCTGGCGCACTGGGAATCCAGCCCCGCCATGAAATTATGAGAAGGGGAAAGGAGTCATCTCCCCAACAGCTTCTCAGGGGGGTGTCACGGAGATTAGAGAAGACTAGTTGAGTGGCCGCCACGCAGACTTCGCAGAGGTCTCGTCCCTGCCTCAGCATCCGGGTGGGTCAAGGCCAGCCCACTGGGCCGGGCCACCAATGGAGGGAAGTTGTGGTTCAGAGACTGCATGAAGCAAGGGGGTTTCTTAACCGGGGATTTCTGTCTCCCTCTCTCCCCTTGTTCCCTATCCTCAGGAAACCCTGAGAGTTTCCTAAAGGGAAACGCTGACCGGATAGGAACTGGCAAGTCTTCTAAGCAGAGGAAAAAACCCCAAAGCCACACCTCGGGTGACACAGCGCCCAGCGACTTGTGAGTCTGGCACAAAGGCCCAGCTTGCTTTCTGGGCGTGAGAGGCACGGCTGCTGCCGCTGCTGCTCTGGGGTGGGTGTTTTAGGTGGGAAGGGAAGGAGCCTCTCCCTGCCCCTTACACTGAACCCAGGGAGTGGCTGGGAGCAAACAGGACAGCCCTGGGGAAAGCACCTGTCCAATCACCAACACCTACAGTCCCATTTAAGGTGAGTGCCCCCCGCCCCCCACCAGAAGACCGGAAATAACTTGTGTTGACTCCAGCTCTGAGTGTGATCCACCAGCAAAGTCACGCTCACCACCTGACCCGCCTCAGCCAATCTCCGGTCATCTGCCTCATGGAGGGCTGTAGGGCTGTGGCTGGTTGTGGACACCCATGGGAAAAGCCCAGGGGAGCAGGAACCTGTTGGTTTTCAAGCCTAGTGCTTCTCTTCCTCATGCTTAGTCATCTCGGGGTGGGGCATCAGGGGAACACACCTGCCTGTTTCTGCGGAAAATCCCAGCAGCCGGGATCCTGGGGAGGTTTTACCTTGGGTAACCCCTCTTCCCAAGGCCATCGCCCCTTGGCATTTCCAGCTGCGACATCTTTAGACCCTTCCACTTTCTCCTCAAGGTGGAACCTACATAGATGGAGGGGGGCTCCCGGGCCCAAGTTCAATGTGGTTGCATAATCCACACACAGCTTTTCCCTGAAAATGGAGCCTTAAGTATATTGTTAACATAGCAATAACGATAGCTAATATCTAGAGACCACCTACTGCATCCAGGTACTGTTGACTGAGCGTAAACGGATCAGGAGGCTTTAGCTAGGAGTACGTGAAGATTTATTCAAGGGTCTTGGGGTTTGCAAACTGTAAACACAACTAGGCAATACCCAGAGTGTTCCCAAGAAGGAAGAACTGAGGGTTCTTACAGTAAAAAGTACATTCTTGAGAAGAATCGGTCCTGTGTTTTAGCCTCTGGGTCGGTCTGAGATGGTCATCCCGTTGAGATGACCGCTGTGGTCTGGATGATGTATGTCAGGTGATCTGGACACATGATCGTTCTTTCCTTGTTTCTTCAGGAGGTAATCAGAGGGTTATCTGGAGGTTTGATGTATTTCCAGGTATTGATACAGGGCTGGAAAGTTCAAAGTTTAGGTTCCCAGGCAGTTAGACCAAGAATAGAACTGTTTCCTCAGGCCTCAACCTCCTCGCTTTCAGTAACATTAGTTCGACTGTAGTGACTCCATTTCTTCGCTCTATTTCTCAGTACGATATTAATTTTCACAAGAAGTCCTCGTTAACCACATCTGACGCGTAACGAAGGCACAGAGAAGTAATATTCCCATGGTCCTTAACTATCTACTATACCCGCAAGATTTAGGCCAGAGCAAGTAAACTAACTTTATTTTCCACGATGTTTTCAGGGACTCAAAGAATGTTAAGATCTGGAAAAAGACTTTAGGGATAAGTGAGTGCAACCCTTGGTTTTACAGCAGGGAAAAGCGACCTGGAGAGGGGTCAGGGTGTATTTGCCCAAGTCCCACCGTGAAATCATGGATGAGCCCCTAATCATTTTTTTTTTTTTTTGTAACTTTCTTGTAAGACATCCCGCTCTTGCCCTCCCAGAGGAAATCACTTTCCCACATTTTTAATCATTTCTTTGCTTTTCAATTCTCGATACTTATTATTCCCATTTTCCCCTTCGTGGTACCATTTTTAGTGAAAAAAAAAAAACCAAGGAGAAAAAACAGGAAAGGGAATGAAATGGAAGAGAGAAGGAGTGGGTAGGGGGAGACAGAGAGAAAGGAGGGAGGGCGGGATGGACGGACAAAGGGCGGGAACCATCTGCCGAGCAATTACTGAGATGCTGGATACGCCATCGCCAGGACCCCAGCTCGAGCTTCAAGATGTCCGAAGGCAAGCAAAGCCCCTAGTGTGACACCGGGTCGGCCCCGCCTCCTGGTTCTGAGCCTCAGCTTCCCCA